CTCGCGTAGACGGGAACTGGAGGGAGGGGCATGGGAGTATCCAATCGTGCATCCAGTCGAGGACTCATCGAATCAGGTACCAAATTGTTCACGTAATTTACCGCATCAGGTAGACTGTATAGCCAAGAACCTCACTGCGGACCTGACTCATGTGACGTGCGCAAACCGCCAGCATTCATTGAGGAATCTAATGCGTCTATCGCCTCGGCTATTCATACAACAAACAAGTCTCCTCTTCGACGCTCTTTGCCACATCTACTCCATCTAGCAAGCCGAAAGCAACGCTCTAGAACTTGTAGACCTGCTCAGGAGAGTAACCCAACTCCTTGAGGGTACCAACAAGCTCGCCCTGGTCCTTGGGACTCTTCTTGTTACCAGAAATAGCATTCATCAACCCGGGGGGACCGCACACGAAAACCTTGATGTTCTCGCTCTTGGGCTCGGGAAGAACCTGCTTCAGCAGCTCCTTGCTGATAAAACCCTTGTTGCCGCTCCACTCCTTGGGCGGCTTGTCAAGCACGTAGAAGGCGCGGAAACGCTGCGGGTACGTGTTCTCGAGCTCGGCGAGCTCCTTCTTCAAGAGGATGTCCTCCTCAGTAACGTTGCCGAACACGAGCGTCACCTTGGTCTTGTCCTCGGGGTTGTTGAAGATGGCGCGCGCGAGCTGGTACATGGGCGTGATGCCCGTGCCGCCGGCGACGAGGGCGATGTGCTCGTGCTTGTTGGGGGACCAGGCGTACTTGGGGAGGGGGCCCTTGAAGTCGAGGCGCTGGCCGGGGGTCATGTCGTGCATGTGCGTCGACATGGGGCCATTGGGGTACTTCTTGACGATAAGCTCGAGGTAGCCCTTGGCGTCTGTCGTTTGGTTAGTCTCGAGTATCGAGCAGCATGATCAGAGCGGATAAGAAGAAACCAGGGAGAATACGAACCCTCATCGCTGGTAGGAGTATAAGGCCTCAACGTAGCCTTCTCGTCCTCGGGTCCCTTGTACTTGGTCAAGATGGCGCTCGCGACGTCCAATCCAGAGACCATGTCGTCCTCGGGCAGCTTGAAGCGGAGCTTCTTGGTGTTGTGGTTGATAATCTCGGTGTCCTCGAGCTTCAGCGACACGAAACCTTGGTCGCCGCCCGTGAGCGCTTTCTTGGGCGCCGCGCCGACGGCCTCCTTAACCTTGGCCTCGGCCTTTTGCGCCGCGCCCGAGGAGCCCCCGGCGAGGAAGTAGTAGGCGCCGCCCGCGATGGCGGCCGCGCCGCCGGCATAGAGCGCCGTGTTGGAGCTGCTGCCCTTGGCGGCAGGCTCGGTGGCGTAGCGGCGGGCTTGCTGTTATTGGACAAGGTTTGTTAGTCTTTGCAGTGATTGAGAAGCATTGTTGCGTTTCGAAATCGGGAGGAGCCAAGATGGGGTTTGTGATGTTGGCATAGGTGGTGTGATGTGGTCGAACGGGTGGAATCGCAACTCGGGAACCGCTCCGCGACCCGCCGGGGGCAACGAGGATTTCTCCAATGAGCGAGGGATGAAGAGAGAGGAAACAGCGTCATCGGACAGCTATCTTACCAGCTTGAGGGGCTGCGCGGCCCTGAAGGCAGTTCTGGCAAACATTGTGATGGTTCAATTGGAAGTTTCCAAGCTGTAAGGAGAGGTAATTGACAGGTGTGTGATTAAGAAATAGACCAAAAGGTGGTTTTTTTTTTCCTGCTAGGAGAAAGAAGCTCAGGTATCCGAGACTCGCAACAGAAGCTCGAAGCCGCCCGCAACGCAATGGAAAGCTTCCCCCAGCGACCATTGACCTGTGCATGACGTAAAATGTCACGTGAGCTAGTGTTTCCCGCGTCCGATCCCCGCCGAACTGACCGAGAAGGATGGGCACAGTAAGCGGCTTGCCGGTGGGAAGCCCATGGAAATAACCGATGTGCATTTCTAAGCAGGACCAACAACGTGCTCAAAGAGGCTCATTGCGAATTGCGCCATACCACTGCGAATATTAAACAGGGGCATTTGGGCGCGAGCGTTGACAAGAACCAGCTGTGAATCTCGATCACGGTTTGGACCAGTAGGCAAATGGATCCACAAAGGCAATCGACTAGAAATATCATGTCGAGGAACATTTCTTGACGTTCCCCAAGAGGAGAAAGTAGGGGATCACCCCGATTATTATATACAAGTCAACAGCTTCAATCGCCGACGACTTCAAAATACGGTAAAACTCCACCCCATCTTCAAAGGGGATTTGACGTAGTCCCGGGCATTCAATGGCGAAGCATGCCGTCTTTCATCCTCGTTTTTTCAACATTGATGCGTCCCTCCACAGGGGCCCTTGATCATAAAGTTTTCCATCATCCAAGCTACATGCTGAAAGCGACCGACCAGGGGCTCTTCTCTCTTTATGTCTCCCGAAAAATAACAACTGTACGCCTCTTGATCGTCAAACCGAAACCAGAAGCGCTCCTCCCTAACGTTCCTCATAGTACATGATTCGTGACAGGTCCCCAGAGGAGAAGAGAACCTGCCAAGCAAGAAGAAGTCAAGACCCTCAAGCCAGACACGAGTGAATGCTTCTTGGTCGTCTCTCATCACCGCTCAGTGTCCATGGCGTCGGGATCTGCAGGCTTCTCAGTGGGGTTTGTTGCTTTGGGTGTGCTAGATCGGTCAACTAGCTTGCTCTCTGTGATCGCCTCCGTCAAGGGGCTCACTTGGGAATCTGTCTTCTTCGCCCCAGTGTCCTGACTGCCTCGGCGCATCATGCCGATATCCTGGTGCGAAGCTAGAGTTGGTGTGTTGGCCTGGCTGCCACCTCTTTGGCCGTGGTAATGCACCACTTGCGGAGGGGGTTGGCCGGATTGAAGACCAAGCTGCTGTGTAGGGTACGGATCCAAGTCCTTGCTAGACGTGGAGAACGTCGAGACCACAGGCTGGTGGTATCCGTTGGAAGAGGATTGGCTACCGGTCGGTGTGTGACCTTGAGGGTGGTGCTCTGCTTGCGTCGGAGTTCCAACATCGTTTGGGGACGTAGAGCCTTCGCCAAGGTTACCGGTAAGACTGTTCATTCCGCCTTCAATATCTCGCAGCAGACGAACGTATTCCTCAGGGACGAGTCCGCTCTCCTGAGTTTTCGGGTCTTCGGCTACTAGCCAGCCTTGGCCGTGGCGGTAGGAAACCCATATAATTTGACCTTCCAGCAATGGCAACTCGTTTTCGTTCTCTCTTTCAAAGTCAAAAAGCGCAACGGCTTTGCCGTGCATTTCTTCGTCGGGCGACGTGATGGTGAACTGGTAATCCCGGGAGTATCGTGACTGGTCATCCCCGCGGAAACCTGGAGAGGATGCGGAGCTCGAAGCATCCGAGTATGTCTCCTGTTCGGCGTACTGCCGCGGGGGCAGGTCACCTAGCTGATATGCGTGGCTGGAATGCCGTGCATCGCCGGGAGGGTAGGTAACATATTCTCCGCCTGGTCCATTCGCTTCCCCTCCTTGGTTGAGGTAGTATCGTTCGCTGCCATCACCACTGGTTCCGACGTAGTAGCCGCGCTCCCGTTGTTCGTAGTGTGCTGGGTGCAGCATGTCGTTGCCCGCATCGCGAGAATTTCTCAACCCTGCGGTCCCGCCAAGGGCTGCTGCGGAAGATTTGTGCTTTCGGTGCCTGGAGCTGACGACAGGGCTCGCCAAATCCTCATCCTCACTCCAGGGTGGGCCGTCCCGGAATTCCATGGGTGGCAGGTCGTGGGCCTTGCCGAAGCCCTCTGGCCCCCAGGAGCCAGTATTCCAGGTCATTTTTGTTTCCCAGGCAGCGGGAGGATCGGATAGGCGACGAGACTCGCTGAGGGGAGTGCTGAGGCCAGAAGCAGGATGCGACGGCTCTGGCGGGGGACCATAGTGCATGGGATGCATAATTGGATATGCGAAATCGCGCACCAGGGTGTAGGAGAGACTCGAGGGAAACATTGGAAATATGTGAGAAGGCGGTCGCGAACGCGAGGGGACTGAGCCCGTCGAGTATTGCGACAAGCGATTTTTGGAAGCGTGCGACATTGGTCTCGGTGCGGTCGAGCGACGGCTGGGTGGTGATGTTATTAGTGGCGGTAGTGAGGGGTGATTCGGGTTGGTGGAGGGAGAAGCAGCTGCAGGTGGGGATGTCGCGGGCGAGGAGCTCTGGGACAAGAGTGTGGTCATTCTGAGATTATCGCAATCGTGGAGGAGCCAGCGTAAGGATGACAGGCACCCGATTCGCGGATCCTACGGCGTCGTGTGCCACCAAGCAAGCCAAGTGCTCAGTAGGACCGTCGACCGCACTCGTCGCGCCGAAAATGAAGTAGGAATTCGATTGTCAACAGGTAGTGCCGGGAGCGACGAAGGCTGTGAATTTGAGGGTTTGCGCAAGTGTTATCGTGAGTTATGCTGCGCGCGAGTCGGAGCCGATTAGCCTGTGGGAGGTGCGGGCGGGCGGGCGGGCAGACTGTGAGGATCGCAATTCCGAGCGAGGCGAAGACGAACAGAGTTGGGGTTTGAAAAGAAGGCGGAGCAACAGCAAGCGGGCTTGCTCGCAAGGTGTCGCAAAACGAAAGTCGTCGCACGCGACGCTGAGGGTTGGAAATCGAGTAAGGAGCGTTGAGAACTTAAGGCCGGGAGCGGGCGAAGCGATGAGATCGGCTCGCGGGGTCGCTCGGTGGTAGGCAGGACAATAATGAAGATGGAAGAAAGAAGAGCACAGGATGAGGAGAGCGATGGAGAGGGAGGGGAGAAACGGTGGGAGGAGGAGAAGATGGGAAGAAGAGGAAGAGGAGGGAAGGTGAGGTTGGGAATAGTTCGTTTGGGTTCAGGTCGCTGGCGCCGTTCTGGCTGCTCTGCTACTATGGTGCTGGGCAGCCGCTGCGCTGCGAAAAAAGAGAGTGTCCCCGTCGCTTCTTTGCTGGTGCCGCGCAGGTTAGGTGGTGGTGGTGGTAGTGGTGGGTTTGAGAGGTGAGGTGCCAGCAGCAGGGGAGAGAAAAAAAAGAGGTATATTGCAATATGCGTGCACGAGGTAAAGGTACTCGAAAAGAAAGTCCCGCCGTCTGGTATGGAAAGGTATCCGCAGGTAAGGTAGGCAGCAGGGAAGGTACCTACAACGAGGCAGACAACATGGAAGCAAACACCTCAGTCAACAGACAACAGACAACAGAGCCCACGACGCATCCAAAGAGAAAGAGAGCTCAGGTAGAAGTGGCCGTGCCTTTGCCTTCTTTGCTCGCACCAGACGATGCAGCAGTGAGCACAGATGGGACTGGACTCTTGGACTTCTGGATTCTGGACTCTGGGCTGACCCACGCTGGACTGAAGGTGCGACTAATTCCCGTGGTACCTCGAGGTACGGAAATATGTACCCAACTACCTCTAGCGGCCGTCGAGAAATGACACGATCTCGAAGTACCGCAGCGGTAGACGGATACTTGGTCGTTGTAGGGTTTTTTTTTCTGGTAGGACCAACTGGGTCAGTGAGTACCTTATGGGGGGAGTATGGCCAAGTCCAAGCAACACCAGAGTCTCTTTTTCTAACGGTGGCACCAGGACCTGTGAGCGGACCACTTACCCCTTCCACTATCTCAAGCTACTTTTTGAGTTTGGATCTTGGAGAGCAAGGGACGAAGAACAGACAGTGGGCATCGACCATTGACCATCAACCTCCAACGCACTGGGACTGCACCTTGCTGCTTCTAAGCGCGTCGCGCAGTGATCCTACTGGCTGTGTGCAGTTGGACCTGGCGGGAAGGGGGTGAGGGGTGGTTGATGTGAATAGGTACCTCAGGTAGAGGGGGCCAGAGAAAGGAGGGGGGGATGGATTGGAGGGGAGACGAGGGGAGGAGAGACAAAGGCCAGCACAACAAGCGGGCGTAAGTAAGAGACCGAGAGCGGTAGAGAAAGAGAGGAGAGGGGATTATGGATTGGGAATCTAGGAGTACCTTGAGAGAGAGAGGAGGAAGAGGCTGATGACTTTCTAGTGGGATCCAACAGTTGGAGGAGAGGCTACAGCAATACCTAGACAATTGACAGCAGCAGGCGGGAATAAGAGCAACGACAGTGCAGGATCCAGGAGTGCGTCAGGCAAGGCATAACCCAGACGAGAGAGTGGGAGAGAGGGAGGGGCTGAATCCGGATCGATATTAATCATGGCGGCGAACTCTCAAAGAAACTCGAACACAGCAGCCAGCAGATGCCAGTGCCAGAAGGAGAGAAGCCTCAACTCGGCCCCAAATCGAGTCAGCGCCAACAATCGGGGTCTCTTTCTCTTTCCCATCCTCTGCAATCGGCAGGCGTCGACTGACTGGATCTCTATCCGTATCCGGTGTGGAACGAATGCTCTCTGCCCTCTTTCTTCTCCATTACGGATACCTACCACTCTACAAGCCAACGTCAGATCCGAACTGGAACGGCATATCCTCCGTCATCCTCCACGCCCTCGTGGGTATCATAATCTGGAGACTCTTGTCAGGAAAACAGTAACAGCTCCACCAGGGCAACCTCAAGACTCAATGGAAGTACATCGGCGCCTGTCTCTCTCCTCTGTTGTCCACACAAGCGCACTCAGTTATTCGCCTGCGCTGGCAGGGCACGGGGACTTCATGTCCCCCGTCTGTGTACGAATACGCTCTCCTCCGCCGCGCAGAACTCAAGGTACTTTGGGCTGTCAGTGGGACTGCAGACGAGGTACCTTGGTCTGTACTGCCTCATGTTCCTCACTTGACTACTGCTCATCTCTGGTTGCAGCCGTTGCCCCAGCCCACCGACGGGTTCTCATCTTGCCGCAGTTATCTGCGTCTGTCTAGCATTCGGGGTGGCTTCAGTATACCCGTCGTGCTCTAGCCTCCTACGCCTACGGACCTAATATCAGGGACCTACGAAGTAGATACTCATTACGCACTTCATGGTTCCCCTTTTTACAACGGTCCGATCATCACCTCAAGGGGATCCCTTCGGCAGCCTCACATCGTCTTCCCTGTCGATGACTTTGCCCACGCGTTCGCCGCCGGTGCGGTTACAACCTAAGAGCCTGACTGTACCGACTGACGCGCACACACCAAGGACGGGACGCTGAAGCAGACCTCTTCCCCGCGTGGCCATGTGCCGCCGCCGCCTCGCATTGCTTCATATCCCACACGCAAACACCCAATTGACTCGGCCGTCCGTTGTTCAGACTCACACCCTTCATTAGGCAAACCTGACACTATGATGGCCGTCCGTCCGCACCCTGGGTATGGATTACTGGATGCCTCCTCCCCCAAGGAAGTCTCGTTTCCAGCTCAAACTTTATCCTCATAGAGCCGCCCGTGATCTCCGGTCTTGTCCAGCAGGAATCTGGGCAAAGGACTGCCACCACCTCCGGCCCGACTTATCCATGGTACCCACTGTGTATTCCGGCCTGCACGGAACGGACGGGCAGGCAGCAAACAGGGGGTCGTCCGTACTTTCTGAAAGGCAAATGCTGGGGACATTTGGATTGGAATCCTCTTTCTAGACGCACTGGTTTTTGTCCACTTTTTCTCCACGGCAACGGCCTAGAATCTTCACCAGATACAGAAGGAAGAAGGCTTCAAACAGGGCAAAAGCGGTGCCAGATGCTATTCTTGGTCTTTGGCCGGGCTGTCATCAATAAACCCAATATTGGGTGCTCCAGCATTGGCCGGCGCAGATTCCCGTTCAGGTTGCACCAAGGTCAGACAGCAGCCCGGCCCACAGCTGATTAGCGAGGACGTCCCCGGCGCAAATCACAAAGTACCCAGAAGCAGCCGTCCATTGACATGAGTCTCGCTTTTTAGTCCGAACCGTAACAGCGGAAATCTTTGAGTACACCTGCTGGGGGCCTTGACTGATTAAGGGTGGGTTGATCCCTTTCTCATCCCATGATTGTTGCGCGAAGTTGCGAACAGACCTGGCCAGGGCAGAGCATGGCATCAACACAAGATTGATGACTAGCATCGCGTCACGCTCTTCTCCTTCGCGTTCGCTCACTTGGACTTTAACACTCAAAACCTCTATAGGATGGTGCCGGGTGCTAGATCTGGGAAACCCCCAGTGAACGGACAGCCTGAAGCACAAACCGCCATCTTCTGCTTAGCCATGCGCTATCTCGTTAGCTGCATCTCTCGATCATCAGTGCCAACCGTGGGGCAACCCACAAGCCGACGGATGAGCTTCAGTCGAAATTGCGGTATCGACTTCAGTCACCAAGGTGGATAAGGATATCCATACGTACTTACGGATAGGGCGATGCTGCGAAACTCGAGCGCTGATCGGCGGGCTCCCGTGCAGGATACATCCTGACACGACTTTGTTGCAACTTGCAGCGCCTGCATCTTTCGCTGCCAGCGGCCACGTGTGAAACAGCGACCATTGACACTGCCAATAGCACAATGGAGCTGTCGTGGTCAGAGACGAGCGGGAAAAGTGTAAGGTGGTGAGCAATGCTCGCCCACAATTGCTGTTGGACCGTCTGCCGGCGGGCTTGGTTCATCAATACCGTAACTCAACGAATACCTCCGTACATCTGGAGACCAACCAGCACCTCGGGCTACGCAAGCGACCCTGCAGTGGAATAAGGTATCCGTAAGTAATAATGCACAGCCCGACTGGGCCTAGGGCGAAGCGGGAAGTTGCGAGCGCTGCATTGGGCTGGGCGCAGTAAAACATTCAAGACGGACGGAATCACAGGCCACCCGCCAACCCCGAGAGACAGATATTCCTCCGATGATCAGATCCAGTTCTATTGCTTCCTTGCGGCAGCCCTCCCAAGGGTACGGAGTGGCACCGCAACACACAGTTGATGGGCCGACAGCAAGCCCCCGGGAGGAGGTCTAGCCCGTGGATCCTTCAAGGACTGGACGAGACGGTCAAGAGCCCCCATTTGGCGCACGATCGCTAAACCCAAATACTGGCAACGACTCTCAACTGTTTGCACACATCACATTTATTCATTCAATCGAGAACGAGCAGCTGGCTCCAACTCATGCCCATTTGCAAAGACTTTGGGGGCTGGTTCCTTTCTGGCTGAGCTCCCAACGCCATCAGATGTCTCTGTACCCATTGGCTGTTCTAATTCTGGACAATGTGCGCCGTGCACGGCAGCTGCGTTTGGGGATGTTGGGGTCGTCTTGATTGGTGCCCTCCAAGGTGTCGTCTGTTTCAGAGTATGTGAGCGCCTAAGAGCCAATCATGCTGGTTCATCGCAAGCAGCCACGTGAGTTGGGCCATTTTGGCTGTGAGTGTATGGAAGCTCAGGCACCCAGATTGAGCCTCAGGCAGGAAGGTGCCGTATTTCAGGTTCGCGAACCTTTGGCCTGAGGCCATGAATCCGATGGCACCCGTCCCGCCCTGCCCTGCTCTCAAGGCCCGACATTCAGCCGAAAGCGAGCTATCCAATTCTTCACTCAAAAAGAACGTCATTAAGGCTCTTGCATCTTTCAACTGTCAAAAACAAAGTCAGTGTCGAACTCGGAGCTTTCCAACAGCCCACGACAGGGCATCACTGGAGATTTAGATAGAACTTCGGCGACACTTCTGGCAAAGGCCACAGGCGGATGCTAGAGAAACACATTGATCGAAACTGATCAAATCACCCCCAAAAGGTAAGGAAAAAGACAACTTCGCGACGAGCCTGGGAAAACACTGGCCGTCCTTTTTCGAGCTTTTCCATGATGAGATTCTTTTTATTGGAGCTGTCTAAATTCCCCATGTTGAGACACTTTATTACCTTATACGCTTTGTCTGAAAAATCGCGCTCAAAACTCTTTTCATGCCTTCGAGCATCTAAACAAATGGTGTTCTGAATATTGGCTAATTCGGATACAGACCAGATTTCTTCTCAACATCTACGACTGAAAGCAACGACCACCGGCTTTTCGACTTCTTTTTTTTTCTTACCTAACCGACCCGCTGGATTTTCCTCTCTTGCTGACCTAAACATTGTTCTGCCCGTTCCATTGTTGACCTTTTCCGACGGCCCCACGTTTTTCCCATAATCATCCATCCATTTTGACTGCTCCCCGTCGCGCGCCTGTTGATACCCACTCCGTAATACTTCGTGGAGCTACCGACGTCCGTCCTCCCATACAATCAGTACCTTACTCCGTGCCGTACCTATCGAGCTTGCTTGTCTGCCCCACTCAGCATCGTCACTTTCCATCGCCATTACAAAAATCACCAGATTACAATCACAAAACCATGGAGGTCGCAAATGGCACCGGCGGCGCTGCTGCAGCCGCACCAGCTGGCGCAAACTCGACTGCACCTTCTGCGAATGGCGGCGATGCTGCTGCTGCTGCTTCTTCAAGCGAGTTCAAGCTCAAGTTCTGTACGGTGTGCGCGAGTAACCAAAATAGGTACGATATAGATCAAAGTTCTCTTTTTTTTTTTTTCACCATACCCCAGATTTTTTGTCACGAGAGAGAGAGAGAGCACGATCATGCTTCCTACATGACAACCATGGACCTTGCCCGCATCCCTCATCGAATCCATGACCCAAGTTCGGAAGAGAGATAATACTGACCAACCCTCCTCCCAAAAACAGATCAATGGTCTCCCACCTCCGCCTCGCCCAAGCAAACTACCCCGTAATCTCCTTCGGCACAGGCTCCCTCGTCCGCCTCCCGGGTCCCTCAATAACCCAACCAAACGTCTACCAATTCAACAAGACCTCGTACGACTCAATCTTCAAAGAGCTCGAATCAAAAGACACGCGCCTCTACCGCGCAAACGGCGTCCTCAACATGGTCGACCGCAACCGCCACGTCAAATGGGGCCCCGAACGCTGGCAGGACTGGCAGGTCGGCATGCCGCGCCTCACCCACGCCGAAGACCGCGGCAGCGTCGGCGTCGAGGGCGGCGTCGTCGATATCGTCATCACCTGCGAGGAGCGCTGCTGGGACGCGGTGATTGATGACCTCATGAACCGCGGGAGCCCCCTGAACAGGCCCGTTCACGTGATTAATGTCGATATCAAGGATAACCACGAGGAGGCCAGCGTCGGTGGGCGCGCGATTCTGGATCTGGCCAACGCGTTGAATGCCGCGGCGACCGAGGAGCGCGAGGCTGTGGGCGCCGCGGCGTTTGATGGCGGGAGCGCGGCGGGCAGGGCGAGCTTTGATGAGAGGGTGCCGGATATCTTGGCTGCGTGGCAGGATCGGTGGCCTCACTTGCCTGCCGTGTGGACTCTTGCGTGGTTTTGAGAGATAGAGAGAGAGAGAGAGCTGGAAAAGGGCGGAACCCTTTTCGGCCCTCCGCTTGGAGTCGTGCGGACTGAGATACGTTCCGTATTGAAGGAATTTCCCGACACAACGAGTCAAGAGGACGACGTGCGGGAGGAGACGCTACAGTATCACCAAAGTTGATGGCTTTATCGGTCCGGTGCGAAAGGCGTACGGAGGCTTGGAAACACTTCCCGAGCGCCACCGGGTTTCTATATGAGAACCGGCGCAGATATGCCCGTCACGATCACGACCCTGATCACCACGCACGGACGAGATCTCGGAAAGTCATGGATCAATCCTCGTAAACAGATTACGGCTGCGGCTCTTCAGTATCGATTGACATGGTTTATTAAGTGGCTTCTCTATCGCATGGCGAGAGGATGGGCCATGCGAGGCCCGAATTTGAGCTCCAAAACGGAAAGCAGCTCGGGAGAGAGAAACGGAGCTTGCGATTCTATATATAAATCAGGACCTGACATGCTTATAGCATCATCAGATGAACAAGGTTATATGGCAGTCATTGACTGAGTTGGTCGCGGAAATGAACACATCGTTCTCGCGTTACAACGTGGAACGTAAGCCATAGCCGAGCTCGAATAACAGAGGCGGCGAGAGAAATCTTGGAAGATGCGGCTCCGCTATCGAAGTTTGACCCGGGCAAACTCACTCAGCCGTGTCAAAAATGCGAATCATGAGAACGGGAGACTGGAGCATCTCCAGCCGGGAAGGGAGCTTCGGGTTCGGGAAAAGATACTCCCAACACACAGACGAACTATGAAATAATGATAACACTTCCCAAAAGACAGTAAAAACAATCCCTGAATCCTGGTTATGGAGCGAACAAGCCGTGCCGAACTTACCTTTGCTTTATTGTACTTCTAGTCACGCAGAGGACCTGCAGACTGCGACTGGGAGCCCCAAAAGCTCGAGAGTTCAATCAGACGCCCGCGTGCCGTTGCCGTTGGGCCGTTGTTGGTGTCCCTTTAAGCTATCGATGCCGCGTTTCGGAGCTAGCCTTAGTCGAGGCAAGTTTCACGAAGCTTCGAGTATCCGTCATGGTGGTGTGGGTGTGTGTGCTTCCGCTGGAACGTGACCGGGGCTCGATCCCTCCCATATCTTCAAGTTCCAACGGCGGCCCTGCAGCCCTTCCGTCTCTGGGGGGCTGACTATCCCGTAGTTAGTGTGTGTTCGGGATATGTGGTGGCCCGGGAGATCTGTGTGATTCAATAGACTATTGTGCCACGGACCGTGAGGTTGCGTTGAACACACGGCATTCTAGAAGATTTTCGGGGTGGCCTCCTGGCAATAGCACGCTGCACTATACTTAACGCTCAGTAATGAACCGGACTCTAGTGACCTTCTCATCATCTTGCGTCACTGCGCGAACTCCGTAGAACAGTAGTCGGAATGTCCTCCGGCTAGACGGCAACAGTTGACTGTCGCTGCGGTGCACTGAGTTGCGCGCACAATGGTGTTGTCATAACTTGGATAACTCCGTACCCCCAAACGAATTTTCTTCTCCGGTGTCACCAGATGCCAACCTCCAAGAAGACTGTCTAGGCCTCGTCGTCATGGGGAACTGGCAAAGCCTGTGTCCGCAGATTGCACGCGGATGAACCGGACAGCCCAGGGCTAGGAGGTTTTGGAGCGGTGGAGATTGCGTACGCGAGCCCGCGTACCGTAAAGATCGTATCCGCGAATTCTCGTGTAAGACTCAGAGAAGACCTGGCGATGCCATCTCAGCCCGTCGAATGTTCGATGGCATGGCCAAGCTTCATTCCCGTCTCAGGCCCTCAGGGTGGCCGGGTCGGGCAACGGGAGGGGTTTATGCGGTCTGAAGGTACCTTGCACTGTCACATGTCCCCCGTTGAGCCTCACCTCGTGGCCGGGTCTCCCACCCCAGAGCGTCTGGCTCGGGGCGTTGACTGATTGGCTCGGGAGGGTGAGCACAAGATGCTACCGGTACCGAATCAGGTTGTGCTCGAATGTCGCCGTGAAAATGCGTACGTTGAAAAGCACCGATAGCAGGATGATCGCAGCGCGGCAACGATGCTGGGCAGCTGGTCTAAGAGTTTGGCCAGTGATGGAGGCAGACGCCTTCGAGATGGGTGCTAGATTGGGGATCTGGATCTACGGAGTAGAGGGATGGATCCCGCTTTGTGGTTCCAAGAGGGCTGGACCAGTCGAGACTCTGGTGAGCAGAGTGTTTGTCGAACCAAAGAGGAAGCGCAGGGCGGGCAAGATGAGATGTAATCTTAGGCGCAATAAAGCAATGCATGGGGGCCGGTGAGGTTTACGCACCGGTTGTCCGGACAGAAGAACCAGGCATAGGAAGAAAGGTAGCGGCGGCTGAACGGGACGCGTGCATGGTACTTCCCGTTCTGGAAGTATGGGAGAGCGCTCACCAGCACCAAGGAACAGCATATCGTCGCGATGGAGCTGTTCCTGAACATGCATTCTTCCAGTGTGATTCATGGCTTTGCAAGCTGCTTGCCCAAGAGTCTCCCGATTGTCTGGCCACAGAAGCTGGTAAAGGCAGAGCCAAGAGTCTGGGGTTGTCAGAGACATCCGCATGCGTACGGACAGCAGCGTAGGGCGGAATCTGAAGGGCAGAGACGGACGACAAGCAACGGTGACAGCTTGTCAAGGGGCTTCAGAGGCAAAGCCAATGCCTCGTCCTGCCGCGCTCGCCAGCCAGCGTGCCAGCATCCCGCGGCCTTGAAAGGACTCGTCTCGAAAAGGTAGGCGACTGTCGAGCTGGGTCCGGCACCCCCTTGCGCAAGGACGCAAGCAAATCGCATCTCCACCATGCTTAAAATCTATCCATGTCAGTAAGGGCAGGGGAAGGGAGGGCAAGCCGCAAGGCACGTCTCCTGGCCGGATTTGCCCATGCCCAAAGCTCAGCAAGGCCCTTGTCGTGGTCTCCAATTCTTGTCCCATTTCCCACAGACACTGCCACCGTCGAGTGACAGGCCGGGCCCTGGAGCACATCCACCTTTGAATTTTGCTGCTAGCGCGCGCCAGGTGTGATGAACCAATGGGTAGTGGAAAGGCCGCGCCATCACGGCATGGGTAGAACACTTGCTCAGGGGTGATGGAGGCTGCATTGGCCCTGGAGATCTGGGCCTGCAGGGTTGCATGAATGAGGGCTGGTTCCTGAAAGTCCATTATCCGCAACAAAGAGAAGGAGGATGTCGTTGTGTGGCGGACAGGCGGGTGGGTGTGGATGGATCGATAGATACAAAACGATGATGATGGTGTCGATGATGTAGGTAGAAGCGGGTGGGAGAGGATCGTTCGAGGTACAAGTATGTCTATCCGTAAGGTGTGAAAGGCATTTTCCAGCTGAGAGATGGGGAAGGAGTCATGGACTGCACATAGGTTTTCGGCAATGACAGCAACTGCTAGCAACAGGCAAGATTGAAGAGAGAAAGGAGCACTTCCTTGCTGCTGCTGCTGAATGTGTGGTAGGTAGGATTTGTGGATGAACCCGCGAATCATTAGCAGTCTACCGGGACGGTACGTACAACCTCAAAGTTGCAACGGTTACCTTCAAAAGCTCAGTGTATCCTGTATGGTACCTACTGCGTGATAACCGGTACGGGTATGAGTGTCATCAGTGATGAACCGTTCCTGACCCTGATTCTGTTCTTGCCAATACCCGCGTAATGTGGTAGTGAAATCCACTTACCCAGTCACCCATCAAGACGGCGATGGCGCAGCAAAGTTGGGGCAATCTTGATGATGGGAATCAGGATTCCGCGTCTCTATAATTACTTATCAATAGGAAGTATTCGTACATCTCTCGTTTGGACCTTGTTCCTCAGGGTCCAAGGTGGAATATTCGCACATTCATCTGTATGTCTTGAATCGTGCCGTGTCTTTGAATTTGTCTCGTTCAAAAGACCATTGTGTCTTATCCCCCTTTGCAGACCTTTGCCAATCAGGCCGGAGATCGACTTGCCAGCAACATCTACCAGTCCATTTCAGTCTTGTAGAGATTCAGCTGGACCGGGGATGAATGGGGACTCGGAGGGACCTGCGGCGCGGGCATTCCAAGCTGGAAATGAACATGTAGGACGAGACTTTACTCACTTTAGCCCATGGCGATAGGCTTCTCTCTTCCGGTATCCACCAGGGTTAGCTTGTTTTGACCGATCTCTGGCTTTGTGGGAGCTGCCCGTCCATGTAACGGCACTTGCCTTTTTGAACCTCGACTCGAGTCACTTGTGCAACTTTGGGTTGGTCTTTGAGGTGAGGCCCGACGACGGGGATAACTTTGAGCTCCTGTCTCTCCCTGCAACTGGGGGAAGAAGAAACAAGTGTTTGGTGCTTGGGATGGTCTGAGCTGGCTCCCTCCATCCGCTGGGACGGTGCCATCTCGAAGGTATCGCATCAGTAGCTGTGGTTGTACATCTACATTGGGCCACGGATGAATAATTGGGCGGGATGATAACGTACGGACTGGTCTACCGGTAAAAAGGCTCCCTACTATCACCACCATTATGCGTGGATCGTCAGAAAAGTCATCATTGATGATGGACGATGGAGTATGAACATGGACATTGGAGCAAGTGGCCCCCAACATGATCCCCGGAGGTGACCCAAAAGAGATTGATCATCGCACAACCACGGTGGAGAGTCGCAATATCATCATGGGCAATTTCACAAGTACCACGCGATGCATTCTCCAGCCATGATCGGGTGTCTGATGCTCCCAAGGGTACAAGTCTACAAGAGGAACAAGACATGACAACGGCGGGCTGTGTTCTCCAGCGTCATTTCCCCTCCTCCACCCCCCTTACCCCTTCCCGGCAGAGGCCCCCTCCCCCCCTTCCGCTAAGGTTGCCGTGCGTGCGTTCCTCCCTCTTCCTCCTCGAGATAGGTACCTTAGGAACTTGGGTGGTTGTAACTTGTATCTTCAAGCAAGTCCATCCTTTCAGGTTCCCTACAGCAACTGCGAACCAGCGCTAAGGACAAGCTCCAGCGCCCAGAGCAGTCCATCAACACTGCAATCGCTGCCCACAACCTTTATCAGTGCGTTCAGTCCATTGAAGGTTCCTACGTGCTACCGCCGGGTACCTAAGCAACTCGCG